TATTGACGTCAATCAAAAGCATAAATTGTTATGTTTACGTGTGATAGAGAGGGTAACGCATTGTTGATGGATTTAATAGCTAATCTAGATAATAATTTAATAATGATTAAGATAATATTCTTATACCTTAAGTAGATAAAAATTTAAAAATTCCATTGACGCAATAGGCGATCGTTGTTTGTGATAAGAGACATCTTAAAAATAGATTTGATATCGTTGAGTATGCTACGATTTAAGTATCTTCAATTGTTTGAAGCTTTAAGGACCTTTTACGAAAGAGCAGTGATTTTGTAAACTATTTTAAGAATAAATATGTCAGAGATAAAGCCCAAGATTTTACGTCAACCTCTAGAAAACCTAACACGAGGTCGACACCCAAATTACAGAGTGAGATAATACATATTATGTGACCTTCAGTTTGACCGGCGCAAAGTAAAAAAGAGCAACACTAGGCCAGAAAAGGAAGGAGACGACTCTCGGCCAAACTATTCATGATTGAACAAAACTTTTGGCAGGTACTGTATGAAAAAGTATGTTTAATGAATAAGAGCCGAGAGTATAATGAGCTTTTTTCTCCTTACCTACGATTTTGCCAGTTTAAATGAAGTATACCATGAAAATGAATGAAGACTACACTAGAGTGGGCAAGCAGAATATCTCCTTGGTTCCATTTAAAAAGCGCAGAAAGAAATACTTCCTGGTGAATTAGTTTTAACAACAAACTTCTAGGAGATCTCTCCTCTTGTCAACAATTACCCTTTATACTTTATCCCTATATTATTACGTAGTCCATGTTCTTTACAGATTAATGAAAAATAAAGAGTGTATCATTATTATGACAATTAGTTAAACTGAAAGTGACATAAGTTATTTTAAAAGCGAAAAGTACCAAAAGTTCAATTACGTTATATGTATCTCGCAAAATCAAAACTTTTAAAATTTAAAAGTCTTTCCAATGTAATTTTTTTAAAACTCACCGAATGTTGCAAGAGTTGTTTGAGATTTCCTGAATAGATGGTTGCACGTTATCTTCCATCGTATTGTATGCACAAATATACATTAATTTATTAATTAAACGACTAATAAAATACTATTCGGTCTTCAGAATGTTTCGAACGTCTTTCCTACATTCGACTTTTCGCAATGACAGTTATAATTGTCTTCTTATTCTTATAAGGGTGTCACAGACGTCATTAGATTATCAAGAATCAGTATAAAAAGATTATCGATAAGGTTGTGATAACCTACCTGAAAACCAAGTGTCTTAAAATAGATTATTTGGGTATTTTTATTGACGCAAATGGAAATTTCGTAAGTCACTCATTTCCTTAGATAACACTCGAAGCTTTTCTATTATTTACAGATTTTTTAATTGCTCGCATGGTACACTTATTAAATTATTAATCCGAAGATAAAAGTTGTTAATTAAATTTTATCGTAACAGTATTTTCGAAGTGGGACAGATATTAGCAAAGTAAATAAATTTATCTCGATCGATAGTAATACTTATCATTACATCTATCATCCATGGATGTGTAAATATTTCTACTGATTTCATACAGTCATAGCTTATTAGTAGCAAACTGAAAACTTATTTACAAAAAAAAAAAACAAATATTTTTAGCTTCCAATCGCACGTAGTCATATACCTAATCACTAATTTATTAACTAGAATATAAATCCAAAACATCCCCGCACTTTTGGTCGTATGGTCAGTGCCCCCTATCAACTTTTCTGCACATTATTCGGACATTGGCAAGAACATGAACATTTTTGGTACACTTGGGCTGTGTGACCATTCGTCCCGCACTCTTTTTTGGTGAGTGTAAAATGCTGAGATCTTTAATTTAATATACGATCCATGTATCTGTGCTATACTTGGAAATAAACAGTTGAAAACCGATTGGCGGGTCTGAATGTCTGTCCGCGGATGTACGATTAGTTGCATATGCAACAACAAAGTTATCAGCTTTCAAATTTGGAAGGGCTCGACTAGTACAGATTCATGTTTTCCTTTTTCAATTTTAAAAGAACTTATTTTATGTTAACGTTAGTGGGAAGCTGACAATTCAGACATGGATATTACTTCATGTTAATAATGTAAGATCTGAGAAAATAGAAAATGTTTTCAGTCCCTTGACGGTCGCTATTATTCATACAAATAAGAAATGTAAAATTAGCTTTTCGGCTGGAAACATCTTCAGGGTCAAAGCTTGCTAGCGCTGTTAGTAATGTACGAGTGTTCGTCCATGTGTGATCGTATGCTTGTATGTATTTATGCAAGGTCTGAACACTCAGGAACGTAAGGATAAAAAAGATTAAACGAAAGATATTTAATATGATGCCATGGAGAATTATTTCGAGCTATTTTTGCTGAAATGCGTCAGAATATGCGTCAAGCAAAGTACACGTTTACAATACGTGAGTCCACTTAAAAAAAGTTTCTGTATGATTTTAGAGTGTGAAAAAATGTTTAAAAATGCGTCCGTTTGGCAAGCCAGTGCATTAAAACCTTACGTAAATGACAAACCTTACAGATTATTTATTCAGATTAAGAACGGACTATGTTCATCGCTAATAGTAATTTACTAAACGTAGATCGTGATATCGATTTTAATCGATCTCATCAGCACGTCATAGGCAGTCGATACATCACCGAAAAGCTTGGGAATCGTAGGTGCGTGGTGGTTAAGGTGAGAATGATGATACGGAAGAAATGAAGTCAGTGAAAGATTATCTGTAAAGCCAGAAAAACTTGGACCAGGGTAAATAGACCCAGAATCGAATCGATGTCCTTCCGAATACCAAACAATGGTCTAAAGCTCTAGGTCATGTGCTCGGTAAATTACCGAAGATTTTCAATATAAACATGATTATACAATATCGAGTAGTTGAAGTCTTTCAAACGTTAGACATGTTACTAAAAAGGTATCTACATCCCAACTCGAAATTTGTTAGGACTGCGCCTTCCGTCTGAATTGGACTTACTGACTTCAAGATAATTCTCATTGGCCTCAGATCAGAAACGTAATGACTTAGAACATTTGGGTCAGGCAGCTAGGTTTGGTCCAGATGAGGCTACCTTTTATATGGATTAGGTAGTACCTATAATTTGGCTCTGGTTAAGTTGTCTGATTCGGGCTGGATCAGAAATGTAACGCCTTAAAACGTTTGACAGACAAACTTGTTCCACATATAAGGCTACCATCTGTTATATCGTTTGACCCTAATCAAGGTAACTAAACCTTCTCTGACTAGGCATAGAAATGGTCCTAAATTCGCATCCTAAAAAAGATTTTCAAGGCCCGTAATTGGACTACATTATTCGCCTAGTTTTAGACTTATTAATACAGTAAGTTTTTTAATAGGTGATGCCGTAAAAGGGTTCGGATAGAGTATAACTATTAGGGATAGGTCAGGTAAAATAGGACTTACTGTTAAAAAGTTGAAATAAGGTATCTACATTAGGACCATATCTGTCTACATAGGTCATACCTTAAGAGAGTGTAGATATAGGGTGTCGCCATTAGGGCTTGACCTTTGAAGGGTTGAAATAGGTGGGCGCTGCGGAAAAAAAAGGTTAGAAGCGTTGTGTTGTTACAGGCGAATGATGAGGATACCGTGGAAAGAGAAGGTTATAAATATAGAGCTATTAGAACGAATAGGAGAACAGAGGACTCTATGGAAGTCAATAAGGAATAGGCGAGATAGGTTGGTAGGACACCTTCTTAGGCATGAAGGCCTAGTCAGGGATATATTAGAGGCAGAAACGGGAGTTAGGAGGGGTAGAGATAGACCTAGATTAGATTACTGTTCGTAAATAGTTAAGGATTGATAGTTAAGGGTTGTTCTAGTTTTAGGGAAATGCGAAGTTTAGCTCAGGATAGGAAAGAGTGGAGGTACGTGTCCAACCAGTCTTAGGACTGAAGAGCTTATGACCTTATGATAATATACGTAAGAGATGCCTTAGTAAATCCGGATTCCGACAGGACGCTGATGGACACTACTCAGCTATTACACGTAAATCAAATTAGTAAGATTATTGGTAATAAATTACTTATTCGATAACTAAAAATAAAAATAATTCCTAATGGCTAACTTGGCATTTCTATTTTTTTACATTAACTTACAAATGAGTCCTAAAATGGGATTCAATTAGAAATAACTTTTCCTAATACAGTTGATATAAAATGAAACCCATTGTACACAATTGCAGGAAAAAGTAATGCCAATGCAGGAGCGATTCCCCTACTTGAATATTCATGTTAAAATTTAAACTTACCGACTACTTTTAAATTAATCGGTTGACAATCACATAAAGTCAAACATTTGAACCAAAAAGTGAAATGATGGTGTTAGTTTAAGAATCAAAATGTTTTTTTTTTACCATATTCTGACTTTATTTCTATACAATGTAGAATTTTAGAACTGATTATCGATTTTGAACAGCTTTATTTTTTGATAAATTGATAATCAGAATGCTGACAGGATTTCTAAAATTAAATCGTTGAACATGACAGTGATTAATTTCAAATTTTCAGTAGAAGTCAGTTCACAAAGAAAACAAAAGAGTAATTTTTCAAAAAATTATTACACGCTCAATTTAGTTTTTAAGAACAAGTAGCTACCACAATACTGGCGAAACATTCCTGATTATGAAATGCATCTATTAAAATACAAAAAAAAAAATAGGAGACCCCAGTATTAAGGAAATAGTATTTATAACAAATCCATAATATTTGATTTATAAGTGAAAAATGATTTGATTCAGATCAGTAATGATAATTATACTATTGAACTATTGTTTAATTATATTTTTATATCATGTAATGGCATTTAATTAACTTTATTGAAATTTGTTTAACAATTTTTACCAACAAAGTTTTAAAGCACGTTAAAAGGAATTGAAACTGCAATCAAAAATTGAATGACAGAGATATACCTACGAGTAAAAACAGTTGACAATCAAAAGATTATTGTAGATACTGATAAAAACTGACCTGAGAGCCGATAGCCTATCCGTGGTGTCCATGATACAGTTTTCCATATCCGCTGTCGACGTTCTCATTTGTGGTTCAGTGAACTACCCCTTTTTCCAATCGGTCTAACTCTCCCTTATCAATAACTCTCGTAGGGATTGATTCACTCTATTCGTTCTCTAATTTTATGGATTATTTATTTGTAACGTAGATAAAACAGAAACGGTTTTTTTTTTTCAATATTTCCCGAACGATTTGTACAACACGAGGTTATTTCTGGTATTCAGTCTAATACTGCACCTTTTTGGTTAAGACGTATGATAAAATAGCTCTCCAAGCGTGGTGAGATTGACGTCGCCGACGGCAGGCGTCTCCCCACCACTAGACGCTGACGTCCGACGCCGATGTGCCACTGGGAAGCGTCGCCCGGCGTCGGAAAATAATCCCGTTCCTCCACACCTACCCTTCAGGCAACTTCTACCCCCTCGTTTGTATAGCATCGGACGCGTAAAAGCGTTCACATCATGGATAACGATTTTCAGTTTTGGAAAATCCCATAGAATCAAAATTTAACCATTATAAAATAAAAAAATTATTGTATAGAACAACGAAACTTTTGATAGATATTATATACAAGCAAGTATGGTTTAATTAATTTCAGTGTAAAAATTCTTCTATCTGAAGAAGCCACAGTGTGGCGAAATCATTCTACAGAAACAAAAATTTGGTAGCTACCTTGAGTTCAGTTTCCATTAATAAATGTTTACACTGCTCTCCATGTTAATGCCTGGTGATGATTTCAACTGCCAAATTTTTCTTTAGATAAGATTATTGGATTATTAATTTTATTTTTAGTCTGATAAACCCATATTTTATGGACTGCAATAAACAAACCAAAATCCGTAAACAATATGAAAAAGGTTATTAACTATTTAAAGCATTTACGTCATCGTTATCTCTTTATTAAAATGGTGAATTTTTATTAATTAATGATTATTTTAACTGGAGTTAGTGTAGTAGGTATAGGTATCATACTTTTTTTTACTTTTTTATTATATTCTAGACAAAAATTTTCAGTCTCTCTCCAGTCTCTCAGAGTCTTTCAGGGTCTTTTAGCGTCTCTGAGAGCGTCTCTCACAGTCTTTCACAGTCTCTCAGTTATTGCCTAGGTGTTTTTATGGATCTCTCACAGTCTCTGTATGAGAGACTCGAACGATAAAATTGTTAATTTAGAGATTCGAGTCTCTCACAGAGAGACTGAATGAATAAAACTGAAAAAATGAGACTCGAGTCTCTCGTTGAAAAACTGGGATCTCTGAATTATGTTGAACTTTAAAAATTTTAACCACGTTTATCGAGACAACACTTATTGAGAGATTCGAGTCTCTCGTTCAATAATTCGAGTCTCTCGTTCAGAGACTGGATACGAAATGAGGATCTCTCTATGAGCGACTGGAGTCTCTCTTTCAGAGAGAGACAGTTTTTTTAACAGTCTCTCGACAGTCTCTCTCAGCGACTCCAGAAAGACTCGATGAGAGACGGAGACTCGAGTCCCGCTTTCAGAGACTCTGAAAGACTGAACATTGTTATCTCGGGTACTCATCTTTAAATTATGTTGATTGCTGTAAATAGGCGTAAAGTAGAGAAACGTATCAATAAAAGGTACTACAATAAAACAATGTGTAATTAACTACATTTACAACTGATTAAAAACTACTCAATTTTGGAAAGAAACCACATGTTTTACAATAATCTCAGAATTATAATTACGATATTTTTCAGATCTCATTTATCAATAATAGACACATCTTCGTAATTGATTTTATTGATACATACAAATACAAATTTCGCACATCGGTTCTAAAAATAGTACTAATAGCAATTTGGAAGCAGGCGAATAAAGACTGAAGTAAATGTCTGGATGTATATTCCAAAATTTATGAGTTTATTTAAAGTACGAAGGAAAGAAATCCATTCGACGGGGTAAGAATAGTTTCTATGCAAAGATAGCGAAATGCACTCACTGTTGTTGGAATCATTCCAAAGAAAATTATATAGAATTTCCCATTCATCTTTTGGAAATTGATTAGGATGTTGCCTTGAAATGAGAAAGGTACGATATAAAAACATTACACTCTAACGGAAAGCGGGAATGTGTACGGTGGAGCAACTTCTCCAGCTTCCTCTTTGGAATTAAGGAAACGAGCGGCTGATGGTAGTGGAGGAAAACGGATGATACGACCGAAATGGAGGCAGAAATATAACTGCTACAGTATTTGTCCAAAATAATCCGATATAACCACAAAAGAACTTGGCAGAAGGAACTGAACCAGTGATGTCCCAATATTGACTAATACGAGTTGTAGTGAGATAAAAAAATTAAATTTGCCATTAATTCTTGATTCCCTGATCATGCAGTGGATTCAGTATGACATTTTAATATCTTCAATTATATTGTGTCACATCAAAAACCAATGAATCCACAATTAAAAGCAAATATCGCTTACTTCTCTATCTGGAGTTATTCAGTTGTACTATTGAAGCTTTTGCTTCCTCTGCTTTTACTGACTCTGTATCTCCTTGATACTGTTACATAGTATCCCAAAATTCATATTTAGGTAATTGGTATAAAGTTGGTTTGTCCGAATTGTTTATTTAAAACTGTAAGCTAACACCTGCTGTGTTTTTATGATGAAGAAGAAAAGTCGAGAGCCGCAAGTTGAATTCGAAATCACAAAGATGCAGGGTGGCGAGACGTCTTACCTTCTTCACTCACCCTGTGATAGTTCCCCAATTACCTAATAACGTAGGCTTAGATTATTATTACACTATTGGTTAAATAAAAATAATATATAAAATTCACTTCATTACGACAGTACACCCTGTATTCATAATAATCAGTTGAAATAATTCAACACCTTTACATGTTTCGTAGGTACATGTGCGACCCCATTATGTAAATGTCATACTCCTACTGTAGCTACACAATTAGAAATAGATATTATTTCACCCTTCTCTAACAGTTGCTAACCCGTGTAGGTGTTATTTACGTATTTCCCAAATCGATAAACGAATAAACTTTTAAAGACGCTAAACAAAACGGTTTCAATAATTAGCCGTTGTAATTCTTAGTGGGTGGACTGGAGTGAATTACTTATTTGCTTAATATTACCTTATACCTTAATTATATACCGATGCTTATCAACTGTTGTTGTTATTCTATAGAAACTCAACGTAAATTATAAGTTAATCAAGTTGTTATTTACTGTCCATCTATCCCACTGAAATACNTTCGGCTTGCTTGGCAGCTTCTTGTGCCTCCAGATCGGCAATATCAGCTTCGGTCTTTGCCATCTCTGCCTCTTCTTTTATTTTTTCGGCGAGTTCAGCTTCTTGGCGAGCAAGTTCGGCTAGTTCCTGTTCTTGCTTTTCAAGTTCTGCAAGTTCTGCTTCTTGTCTGGCCAATTCTTCGGCAATTCTAAGTATCAAACGTAGTATTAAACTTGGTTACAACAAAACAATAAAAACGGTGAATAATTAACGCTTGTGCATTGCCGCCTTCCCTTATTAAATAAATGAATGAAATACATGCCTGTCTATAGATAGGTGGAAGAGAGCCAAGTCAGGCCTGTGTGCTTGACCTTATGTTCTCGTGAAGGTCCTGAAAGCTCGCCGAGTCCAACAGACGGACGTCATAACCTCCTTATACATACGTATATAAACGTATGTTTGTATGTATACTTAGACACGAGCATTAGTCCACAACAAACGTAATAATCAATTTACGTAATCATTAATTCTTATTACGTGGACATGATTAAGGAATTAGGGCACAAGAAGATGACATAATACTGCGACACATGCCAGATAAATGCTCAAGCAATTCCTTCATTAGGTATTGGTTGTTAACAATAATAGGTATAAGATCCTTGATAACAAATGGGTTGTTCTGTGCCTCCAAAGGTATACATACATATAGCAAATTTCAGAATGAAGGGCTTTGAATATGTTTACAGAAGATCCTTTGGATCTAGATTTACATTAATATATATACATAACAGTATTTTTCTTCGTACCTATAAAATTAGAAGATTTGTACTTACAACCAATTTTACGTTTCCTTTTAGGGTAGAGGACAGCGACCCTTCTTTAGTTCTATGTATAAAGTATAAAAGTAAATCATTATTATTATTGAAACTGCCGTCTTATTTATCTCAAATGAAAGAATTTTTTTTCAGCGGACCATTCACCGAAAAGGTTGACGTACTTTTCCGAAGTAGCTTTTTATGTTCTTTTCTTTTGTCTTTTAAAATCCTAATTACAAATAGCATTAACTTTAACTACGTTATCTTAGCAAACGTTTAATTAGTAACTAAACCACTTATCTTTTACGATTCCGTTTTACGTCTATTCTGATAACGATTTTTTTACAAGAGACTAAAAGAAAATTCTACGTTTATCAAAAAAGAGTGCAGAACGACTGGTCACACAGTCATACAGTCATACTTAATATGTGGTCTTAAGTGATACCAAATGGACGACACACATTTTAATAAGTTGACAAAATTTAATTCTAGTAGGAAACACTCAGTTTCCAAAGGAAGTGGCATTATGTCGTAATGAGATGGTTTTTGTTCCAAAAACAACAACATTGTTTGAAAATTAGTGCTTTTAATAAAATTTGTAATATATTTTATTAAATAACCTTAGTTAAAAATATAAAAATTGGATAACAATAAATAACAGCATAAAACGAGACAACAAATCTAAAAGTTGCAAACAATATTATTACAATAAAAAAGAAATGCAAAAAAAATAAATGCACTTTTAAAAAATTGTTGTACTAGAAAGAAGCAATTTAACTATTATAAGAAAAAATCAATACAAGTGTTTTTATAACAGTCCTAAAGTTTTCTTTTTGTTAACGCATTCATTCTATTTGTTTACAATTCGAAATCAATGTGATCATGATGTTTACAAGACTTTCTTAACATTATAATAAAAGTAGACAGTGCTTGGGCGATTCTTAAAACTATATCCAAATGAATTGGAGGTATCAGAAAAGAGAAAAAATTTTTTTTATATTAATAAAATGAAAGATCAATACAAAACTAATACTTTTAGATATATATAAATATGTGAAGCATTCAACAAGGTATCTACTTATATATGTAACATTTTAATAAATAATAAAAATTCAAATACGTACTTACCTTATTAATATCGACGACAAACACTCACACAACAAAAATTACTCTTTGTTTCTAGTTACTTACCTTCAATAATAATTCCACTTACCAATTAGACATTGCAACGATTGAGTTGGTACTCCTGTTCTATTCCGATTTTTCCGATACCTCCTATCAAGTCATTTAAACAAAAACAACAATGGAACTTAAACTATGCGTATTCTTCTTCGACGGTTTCTTCCGGTGCATTGTCCGCTTCCAAATCTTCGACTTCCACCGGAGTCTGTGACCTTTCGTCAGCAGGATAGTCGTTTGCTGGTGGATCATCAGCTTCGGCAACTGGTTCATCCGCAGCCTCAACCTCCTAAACAAATGATAATACGATTTGCTACAAGGATTTACTGTACTTCATTTACTTTCTCTAGCATTAAACATACTTTTTCATACAGTACATGCCAAAATTTTTGTTCAATCATGAATAGTAGTGCGAGTCGAAAACAAGCTTTAAAGTCTTTAATATGTCTTCAAATATAAATAAACATCTCGTTGATATTTTCAGTAGTAATTGGTACCAATAACAGCACATTTGAGCAATGCAATTGTGGTGGATAAAATGGTCAATTTTTCCGTGCAGTACTGTACGGATTATACGCTCCTCACCGGTTAAGAGTTTGGCCGAGAGTTGTCTCCTTCTTTTTCTGGCCTAGTGCTGTTCTTTTCTACTTTGCGCCGGTTAAACTGAAGGTCATATCGCTACAGAAACTAAACGAAGTATACCTACAATTTACTAATTTCTAAAGTATACAATCAGTCAACCAGTTGAGCATTATCCTTTTTTGTATTAGACCAACTGTTTGTATATTGTAACGGCTATGACAATTATAAACCACGATAATATAACACACCTGTTCCGCGTCATCCCTAGCTGGTGGTAAATCCTCCTCCAGCTGTTTCGCTTCAGCTTCCAACTTCTCCAACTCGGCCAATTGTCTTTCCAATTCGGCTTGCTTGGCAGCTTCTTGTGCCTCCAGATCGGCAATATCAGCTTCTGTCTTTGCCATCTCTGCCTCTTCTTTTATTTTTTCGGCGAGTTCAGCTTCTTGACGAGCAAGTTCGGCTAGTTCCTGTTCTTGCTTTTCAAGTTCTGCAAGTTCTGCTTCTTGTCTGGCCAATTCTTCGGCAATTCTAAAGATCAAACGTAGTATTAAACTTGATTACAACAAAACAATAAAAACTGTTTCATTTTTACCTTTCTTCTTCTTCTCGTTTTGCAGCTTCTTCGGCTTCTGCTAGCCGTCTTTTCTCTTCTTCAGCTGCTTCGGCTTCTTTATGCGCCCTTTCTTCCTGTTCGGCTAATTCGGCTTCTTGTTTGGCAAGTTCCGCTAATTCAGCTTCCTGCTTGGCTAGTTCAGCTAACTCAGCCTCTTGTCGTGCGAGCTCGGCAAGTTCTGCTTCTTGTTTTGCTAATTCCGCAAGTTCGGCTTCCTGCCTGGCCAATTCAGCCAATTCTTCAGCTTGGCGTGCAAGTTCCCTTTCCCGTTCTTCTTCAGCTTGTTTAGCAATTTCTTCCAATCTCAGCAAATGTTGTCGTTCTTCTTCGGCTTTAGCTTCCGCTTGTCGTCGTTCTTCTTCAATGCGGGCTTTCTCTTCTTCTGCTTCTCTTCGTTTACGTTCTTCCTCTTCAGCCTGGAATTAAATGTTTTTATTAATTTTTTTATTTGTCGACGTCATTCTACAGAAAATACCTTTCGTTTCTTTTCCTCTTTAGACTTCTTCTGCTTTTCGGCAGCTAATTCGGCTTCTTTCGCTGCATCGGCTTCTCTTCTTGATTCTTCTTCTTCCCTTTTCCTTTGGGCAGCTTCTCTCGCTTGCTCTTCGGCAAGTGCTCTTTAAAAGGGATTTCAGTTAAAAATTTGATTTTTTTATCAGTTCACATATGTATATGTGTGATGATGCATGAGTTTATGTACATACAAATGTACATTTACACCATGTATAATTATTTAGTCAGTAATGCAGATTTCATTTAAAACGCTATTGAAAATAGTGCTACTTTGCAGAACTTGTAGGTAATGATCCTAAAATCAATCTAAAAAAATTTTTCACCCTCTGTGTTTACCCCAGGAGACTATTGTCCGCTTAGAAACTTAAACCTGGTACCGCAAAATTTGTTCTTCTCTACTCATAAAGGATCAAGACTTAAAACAGAGATGTTTGATTCAAAGAGTTGCACTTTTTGGAAGAATAATGAGTGGCGACAAGGTCTGGATCGATCTGTATGATCTTGGAACTAGAAGACAGAGTATCTTTTGCGATTCACAGGGTCAAGTTTACTGCTATCTTTTTAAAGATCAAGGGGCTTTCAACAGCCAGTTGGAACACAAACTCAACCAGTTATCAAAAGCAAACGATGTCAGCAAGCGAAAGAAGTCATTTTTTAGCTCAACATCGCCTACCCTCACACAACCTAGCTGAACCGTGGTAAATTCAAGGTTTGGAGGTCTTACTTCATCCTGCATAGTCCAGACCTTGCCCCGTCTAATTTTTACTTGTTTGTACCACTTAAAGACGCCTTAAGTGAAAAAAGATTTGCCAAAAACGAGAAAGTTAGGGAAGCGGTGTAAAAGTGGCTACGGATCTAATCAAAAGATTTCTTTGTCAAAGGATTTAGAAAGCTTTTACAAGAAAGATAAGATAAGTGCATGAAGTTGCAGTAATTATTTTGAAAAATAGGCCGAATTTCGTAAAAATTCAATAAACTGTTTTTGAGTCATAACCATTTGTCTCTTTACTTATTGAGTGACGACCTTCGTACTTATTTCTTATTCTGAATTAGTTTGGATTAATTTTTTTACCTACCGTAGTGTATGTACTATGTAGATTTTTTTAAATACGCAATGGTATGATAAATGGACTCACTTTTCTTCAGCTAACCTGATTTCTTCTTGTTCTTTGCGTAATTTGGAAGCTTTGTCTTCAACAGACGTGTCATCGATTTCTCGAATTTTGGAGATTCGCTCAGCACGCTCTGCACGTAGTTTGTCGAGTTCTTTTTGTTGCTCTGACGATCTCTTGGAACCGGAAAATATCCTGGAAGGACGGTTAGGGTTCAAGGGCGCTGTAACGAAAAAGGCAAAGATTTGCTAAAACGGTACCGTAACGATTTATTTATAAAACTGTAACATTGTCATTCTCATTTATTGGAAGAATTGAGCTACTATATTTTAACACCTACGTATTATTTTCAAATTGTTTATTTATTTAAATCTCAAAATTCCACATAAAAACATTCAAAAAAACTGAATCCTGAACAGCAACAACCACGAATTTTTCGTCATTAACTTAAAACAATTAAAGACGAATTATCACATTAATATTTCATATTAACCACTATTGAGTTTCAAAGTGTTTCATATAGCATTAATAAATAATTAAACCAAGAGGACTTACCCTAAATGCCACAACACTTTTCGAGACAAAACTTGAGTGTTGTGGGAAGTCCCTTGGTTTAGTTACTAAATTATTTCATGTAGAAGTGCGTTTTAGGTTTTTTAAACGTTTCTATGCAGTTTGGTTCCATGTAATTCCACACGCAAAGTTCCAATTCCAATATCCTTTTTATTAAATACCCTTGTTCTTCCAATAATGCAAAGTAAATGCAGTATTAGTCACGGCTGTTAGTAAGAGTTTTGTTTATTGCCGTATCTTTTTATCGTTTACTTTTTAGTATTATTTTAGGTAATTAAAAGAGCTAAACTCTTAAACAACTTACGTCTTTATGTTTGTGGATTTGCCATATCCCTTTGCCAGCCGGCTGTTTATATCTTTTATTTAAGGATAGTTGTTTATACATATTTCCTTTTATGTTATGTTAAAAAAATACTTTTTCCAAAAAAATCCATCCACAAGAAAAAAACAAAAAATTATTATCACTTAAAACATGCCAGACGGATAGGAAAGACCGTAGAAGACCTGCCTGATACCCGCTCTGCGTTTTCAAAATATTTCAAAAACAACTGTTTTATTTATTGATTATTATTTTCCAATTCTATCGTTAATTATTTATTTATTAAAACAGATTATTCATTAGACAATAAAGTAAGTTCAATATTAATGAAACAAACTGCTAAGAAAATAAAATTTATTAATTCAAAACTTTCGAAACTTTAGCGCCTTTCGAATTGAGTAGTGCATTAAAATGACAACATTATCACAATATGAATTATCAGCAGCAACAACAATATTTGGAATTGATATATAAAAGTGCTTCAATTAAACAACAAAACGTATCTTCTCTTGTATAACAATTCGCAATAAGAAAAACTCCATTTTTATAAACAACAACGCACATGTACATTTCTAAATATTTATGTATATTATTAGGCAGTGACGAATTCGGCAAATAGTTTTGGTTGAGGGGTAGGGCAGGGCAGGGGTTGATATAAAGAGGTAAATTGCTTGAAGAATGAGAAAAGTGGAAGCATTATTCAACAATTTCAGTAATTTTTGGAGTCTGCTCTTCTTCGTTTAGTTTCTCAGATGCTGGAAGGAAAAATCATTGTATCAGAACACTCGTGTTAGAAACATGAAAGAAAATGTTCAAGCAAGATAGTGCACATAATAACATTTGTTAGTCCAACGAATGTTAAAATTTATTATTTATTTTAATATTTATGGTGTAGATAATAAAAAAAGTCTAAAATAAATGAAATTAGACAGGTAAATGATAAGTTAAGTCAATGGTAAATAATGTATTACTTAGTAATTATCTTTCATTCATTAATCATTAAAAAAGTAGTATTCATTCCCGTGATTTTAATACTTCATATCCCTGCTAAACTAAATATTCATCTATTTCCAATCAATCTAAAGAAGTCAGTTATCGCAAGTTAATTATACATCAAAAAGATGCTTCTAACAATGTAATTCTTCCACAACCATTATCAAAGTATCTTCCTACCTCTGATTCCTAAACCATTGATAGATACATGAAGAATATTTTTAGAAGAAACTGTTTTTTGTATGCTTAATTTAAAAAAACTTTGAGTTAGAAATATTTTGAACATACTGTATTAATGATATCCAAATCTTCCTTTAATTTTCTGAAGATGTTTAAATCAGAACACGATAAGGGATAAATAATTTTATTTATTACTAAACGAAGTCCGACGTTTCGCCTAGGGAAAGGAAAAAGCCTAGAAACATTTAGTGCTTTGATTTAAACATACTGTATAAAAGTACTAGGGAAGTATTAGACATTACAGAAACCTGTACACGTAACACATAAGGCTATTTTGCTTTAGACAGGTTTTATTCCTAATAATAGCACTTAAAACATTGCATTAAAAATTTATAATCGTAATCAAAACTATAAAAAATAAAATTACGATGTGAATGGTTCAAGAAAAATAGTTTTAATAATGGCCCTGTATACAGATGCCTCCGATCTCTCTGACCATTTAGAACTTTCGTGAGAGACAAATGAAATGGCAAAAAAAAAATGATATGACGGAATGTTACTGATGCATTGATGCGATCGATATTGGTAAGTCGTTCGATTGTTTTAGTTTTCACATGGTGAATAAGTACCTTTATCTTCTTCTCCTCTTTGAGCCTTTTCGCTTTTGAACTTTTTGATGTAGTAGCTCAGCAGTTGAATGTCGTTTTTGACTGGATCTTCATACAAATAGTCTAAGTTAGGACGTCGTTTGTAAGCACGGTCTCCAGCATATCTAATGCAAGACAAGAAGCCCGGACCTGTGCATTTATGGGAACAAATGCCGGTCAAGACTGTTTGCTGTTGCAAAGACTCAAAAAATCGTGACGTCAATCCGAAAGTGTAAATAATGTCTTAATAAATTAATTTTTCTTTGAACTTTAAATATATCTACAAATACTATTATAAAAAGCTGGATTAAATATCTTGATCAGGCTGGAAAATACCACAAATGGCGCGGTAAACGCCATCTGTAGTACGGTGCTACATTTTAGGATTACGTATGCTCCAACAAGGTCATTTCCATTTCAATCCTAAAATGTAGCATCGTACTACAGATGGCGTTTACCGCGCCATTTGTGGTATTTTCTAAAACGCGCTGTTAAGACAGCAGGTAAAAGTTGGTCTGTGTTCTGTCGGAGCTGTCTGCGACGCGCTGATGAGATCCAAAAAGATCGAAATCGCGATCCGCGTCTGGCAGTTTCGACAGAATACA